CAACTAAAGCCGTCCAGAACATCTTAAGCAAACCAAAAGACCCAGTAGCCCAAGAATTAAAAACAAGAGTCACCTACAGCATACAAAGGACTACAACACCCACTACGTAGGACAGGCAGGCAGAAGACTAGCAGAGCGCATCCATGAACACCAGCCAGCAGTCAGAAGACACGATGAAAACTCCTTAATCTCCCAACACACGGACAGACTCAACCATAGTTTCAACTGGGAAACTCTCAGCATCTTAGACCAAGCTAAATCCAAAAACGCAAGGGAATTCTGGGAAGCTTGGCATCCCGACAAGACAGCCATCAATAGACACATAGAGATAAACCACATCGACACACTATTCAAAAGAGACAATAAAAAGGAAACCAAAGGACCAGAACATCTCCTCACCAGCAGTCCTCATCCAGATGGGCAGAGGTTGCCACCAAGATTATCACCAGACGTGCAATCAGCAGTAAACAATACCAATCAAGGAACTGTCAGAGGGAAAAATAAAATAAAACAAAACAAAATAACCCCCCACCCCCACCCCCACCCACACTGGCAGGGCATGCCGCTGTATATAAACAGAGAGCAAACCCCACTCCCTTCTAGCACTGAAGAGGTTACCTAGCTGGGTCCAAGGACTCCACAGTTCAACTCTGAGCTACACATATTCTCTTCTATTGGTATCAGTAAACCATGCTTAGCCATGGATTAGCATGCCTAGTAGGTAAGGATATGCTAGGGGACACACACACACACACATCTTCCCAAAATATATCGCCAAGTTAATTTTCACTCTAATTGGTTCAACCTTTCAGGTCACTTAAAAAAAAAAAGAATCCAGTTAAAACTTAAAACCGCAAGATGGTAATTTCTCCCCCTCTCTCCCCTCCCTCGTTTGGGAATGCAATTTAATAATAATGACGCAATACAATTATCCCTTAAGGCAGTGTTGTTCAACCTCGGCAACTTTAAGATGTGTGGACTTCAACTCCCAGAATTCCCCAGCCAGCATGGCCTCAGCACTTCCGCTAGCCAGTTTCAGCCCGACCGCAACTCCTTGGCAATGAAAGAGTTAAAGGCATAGAGCTGATGCTTCTAGAGGGGCCTCGTAGATGGCTGAGGAAAGCTCCTTCCTGTTTGCTGCTGAGCCCGCGACTCGCTCCCGGGGAGCGCAGAAGAAGAAAGAGCAGGTAAGGGAACGAGGCGGCGGGTCGTGGGGAACGGCTGCACGTGTCACCGCCGTTGTATTGGGCCTGCGAGATCTGGGTTGCAAAAATAAGAGTTAGAGGGTTCTGCATCTCTTGGCTGCCGTCCAATACGACAAGCCTAGTTATTATGATAATAATAGTTATTATTATTATTGCTCCTTTTTTAAATATATAACTCAAGGCGGCAATTCGTTCTAGCAGGTCCCAGCTAGAATGACCGTATCTGGGCTGCTCAATGCCGACGACCAAAGATCTGGTAGCTCCAGAATCAGCTTATGGTGAAATGGCAAATTACGGGAAATCGGGGCGGGAAGGAACTAAAATGCACGGCCAGCTGGTTTCTAAGCGGTCTTGCGGCCAACTTCGTACGACATGCTTCTCCGGGGTTCGTGTATCGTGGTTTATTCATGAATCCAACTTCCTGGGTTCATGCAACACCCTGAATTCTGCCTTGCCCTGAGCTGAGGTCATGCCACACCCGGGGTTGAATGGAGTTGGCTTTTTCATGGCTCAATCCGTCATAAGCAGATAATCACTCTGAAGTTTTTAAAGTTAAGGCTGTCATCTTCTCTCTCTCTCTCTCTCTCTCTCTCTCTCTTTCTCTCTCTCTCTCTCTCTCTCTCTCTTTCTC